TCTTCAATTATTAGAATTACATCTTTTTAAATATTTTAACTTACAAAATTATAACTATTGAGCACTTTAATGTGTGAAATTGTATTTTATATATATATATATACTTATTGGTTATTGCAAATATAAAATTATCATCCATGGTTATTGCAAATATAAAATTGTCATCCACTAATTTATAAATATATGCATAAAGCACCGTATTTGTTAAATAATCCATTTAATAATTGAAAAATTATTTAAAATTACGTTCAATATATATAATTTTTTTAAGTTAAAGTATACAATAAGTGTAAATTCAATAACTAAAGATTTATCAGATGAATCTAAAAGTTAAAGGATAATATCACTGATTTTTTTTTAAAAAAAAATTAAATTGTAAATTTAGGTATTTAGCCTATTTATTGGACTAAGAACAAGTAGTTTAGATTCCACATCAATAGTTTACCTTTTATTTTCAAATTTTCATTAAGTTTCTATTTATGTATGTTTGAAACATTAATAAATAAAATATTTATATATATGATGTCATCTGATTACCTGGTGAAGGTTTTATGTTTTATTTTAAGCAATTTTATTTTAAGCAATTATATTATTAGCTCAACGGAGAAATTAAACATTTGATTGGATAGCTTTTGTGGCCAAGTCATTATTGGCTGCTTTCCTAAAACTTTTTGAATGGAGATTTTGTTTTTGTTTGAGCAAAATAATATAATAATAATAATAATATTGTATCCATATTTCTATTCATATTATAATTTGTATTGGTCAATGGTCATAGTCAAATAGTCTGTAATATTATATTATACATTCATCTAATAATTTTTCTTCATAGTTTGTAACTTTATAAAAAGTTGAGTAACACAACTTTAATTTTTTTTTTTTTTTTTTTTTTTTTTTTTTTTTTTTTTGAATATAGAGGAAGGGATGAAACCCAAAAGAAATATAAATAAACTCTCAAAGGATTAACTAGACATGGACTTATACCAAGAAATATCATATATATCCCAACTTAAAGGATTCAGAACTGAAAAAGATGCGTAATTTTTATTTTTGATTAATTAAATAATTGAATTTATAAAATTACATATATTAAAAATTTTAACTTATAATAAATTTTTGCTAATGAAACATAAATTTAAATATTTCGAATGCATAATGTGTAATCAATAAATCTAACTCTTTACGCATTATTTAGCACAAGTTTTCAACAATGATATTTACATATTATTGAATATCCAGTATATTTAATTAGCTGCAACTTTCATAAGTTGCGAATGTTAATAGAGCAATTACAAATTAAAAATATTTAATAATTTTATAATTTAACAACTAATGGATAAGCCTTTGAATGGATTGTTTACCATTAACTTTCTTCAATTATATTTCAATCTCATCCATAATCTTAATTTTTTATGGTCAATTTTATCAAAACTTTAATCTTCTGTAACCAATAACACTCTTAATATGTAATATAGAACTTAAATTGCAAATACAAAATATATTTTATATGGAAGCATATTTTTATTGGAACCACACTTGGACCTTCAGTTAACTTAATCTAAGTTTGCTCTCTCATACAAATTTGCTAAGTTTAATTGTTCTCTTAATTAAATATATATATTTTTTTTCATTTATGTATTTGCCCTTTTAGATACTTGGATGTAATAACAAGAAATCAAAATGTGAAAAAACGGAAATTACAAAACGGAAAAAACATATATATGTATAAATATAATTAATAAAAATGTAATGACAAGATCTTTTAAAAATTGGAAATTACAAAAGCCACTTGTACAATTTTTTTTTTCTTAAAGAAAGAACGAAATCTTCATTGTCTTAGGGAATAATAATCTACATATAATTTGGAATGCTATCTCAAATTTGAAACCGAGCATACTGGTAGGAGGCCCTAGTAAGAGTATGAGCGCTCCCATGTATTTGCTTCCTATCCCGTTTACTTGCTTGCTAACTCACTTGATCGAAATATTCGGTCTAGAATTTAAAATAAATTTACAATCCAAAAACTACCGGTGACAAGTTGAAGTAGGATTAAGATTAGGCTTGGGTTTCTAACACATTCTTCTAAGATGCTCATTCAAATTCTTTATCTCATATCTCATGTTTGTGATTTTCTTATAACCTATTATGTTTTCTGTCCTTAACATATATATTTAAATATAACGTGATTTAATCAAAGGTATAATGTAATGAAAAAGATATTATAATGAAATGTAATTAACATTCTATTACTATGTTTAGTCATGTAATTGAAAAAATTTATAAAATATAATCATCATTATCTCATTTTTATATTTGTTTGTGAATATGTAATGAACTTAACCACCACTGCTACTTACACAATCACACTACCATGGCACCACTCCATCACCACCAAGATAAAAATAAAAAATTCTATAATTTTTTAAAGAATGGGAAGAATAGAAATGAAAAATCACTTAAAAGATCAAAATACCCCATAATTTTATAATTGCAATTTAATTATCAATCAAAATATATTAAATTATATGTAAAAGAAAATAATTTCCCAATTAACTTTAATTTTTGTTTTGTTACATTGCCACCTTTTGCAAAAACTTATTTCTTATTAATTTTATTAGATTTCTTATTACAATCAGCTACAATAATTACTCTAGTTATATATTTATCTATTATCATTCTGGTCTTCAGAAGAGTGTCCATGTCTGTCCTGTATTTATTATTAAAAAAATGTAATAGTCAAGAGAGTAAAAGTTATAAATTGGCTAATATCCCCAATGGCAACAGATAATGACTTTATTAATAGCAATATTTACAGGGGCACAATTAAAAAACTTAATAAAAACTCTTCTTGTGTTTAAAAAGTAAAAATAAAAAAGATTTGAAAACCCAATATAGCACTTAATGACAACACTGCATACAAAAAATTCAAAGAGTCGCTACAATTTTAAGAACACATAAATATTTAAAATTACGCCAATAATAGGGATGGGAAGCGCAATTTGGGAAAAAACTATTGCAAATAATGCTCAGGACAGGATCCATAGGCAATTTCGCCCAACTAGCGGCTATATTCAAAGCTCGTTTCATCATTTGCATATCGATCAAGAAGATATCTTCAGATCTAATAGACGTGAAAGGGGCTGATGGCGAATCTTCGAGAATATATCATTAAATTCCAGAAACTAGCTATGTAAATAGAAGATCTCAACACTAACGTCAACACTAGTGTAATGGCCAAAAACTATAAGTATAAGCTCTTTGATTCATTGAACGTTGACAGGCCTTATTCTTTTGCAGAATTGATGGCTCGAGCCAACAACTTCGCTTGGCTAGACGAGGTTTTTTTTTTTTTTTTTTTTTTGCAAAATGACATCAGTATTTTTACTTTTCTAATATATTTTATTAAATTGATTTGATATCATTGACAAAAGGATCCATACACCGGGAGTAAATAAATTTTTTCTTATGCTTTAACTTGTAAAGACAACAAATTCTGATAAACAGTTATAATAGAAACTGTGGAATCTCTCTCTCTCTCTCTCTCTCTCATCAAAACCTAAAACCTAAAAATTCTCTTTTTTTTTCTTCAACGAGTGGCCATCGGTGAGCTCTCACTGGTGGTCACCCCTTTCCTTTTTTGTTTGTTTTTTTGCAAATAATCATCAGATTTGTTTACAGATCTGAATTTTCATCACCCAAATATTGGGATTGATTGTTGCTTATATCTTGGAATTTTATTCTTAAATCTAGTTCTGAATTATTGTTATCACCACTATGTTGATTTTGTCTAACGTCTTTTATTATTTGGATAGTTATGGAGAAAGAAGTGCAGATCACATCTTCATTAGAATGAAAAAATTTGAAGGTAATCAGATTAGACTTGTAAAAAGACCAAAGAATCGAACAGTGGCCATGAATAGCCACCAAGTGGAGTAAGCGATCACCTATGACATAAATATTATGCTTTGTCAATTCGATTAGATACTTCAAATCAAGATTGCGTTTTTTTATTCTTTGAATATAAGTGGTTTATTATTAAATTCTCTACACAAAAAATATATAAACATATTGATCTGTATTTCATATTTATATACAGTTTTCAATTAATGAAATTTTAGTTTACTTTTTCTAAAAAACAATAAAAAAAGAAACTGTGGAATCTTGATTCAAATTAAATGAAGAAGGAAAGTACCATTTTTATGTCAATATTAAAACCAAGGCCTCAAGAGTCAATATACACCATTTGCTATTAGTCTTTGTCTAGCTTAGGCATAAGTTCCATGACAAATACAAATTACTATTGTGGCAAAAGCTGTTTCTGTCATTTTATTTTTCTTTCCAGATTTGTACTCTTTTGGTGTGAAACTAATCTTATTTTTAAGTTTTACATTTCCTCTCTCTTTTGCCTTTGCCTTTGTTAGTCCACCATTTTCAATCATTTTTTTTTTTTTTTTTTTTTTTTTGTTTTTTCTAAATAGTGATTTTAACATATATTTTCATTACTCTTTTTACATATTTATGCCATACACTTAATAAGTTTTGAAATAATCACTGACGTAACCAATAATTCAATGTTATTATGTTAGAGTAAAAAAAAAAAAAAAGTCCAACTGAATTAATATAATAAATTTGGATTTCTTTTTTGAGCTTGGGCGAGCTACTACTAGTCCTTCCTCCCTCCACCATTGGACGTAATAATAAAAAATGACATATTCATACAAGATTCTAAGTTCGAATCAACTAATCAAGTCATATAAAACCAAAAATTCAAATATATATTAATTAAATAACTTGCAATAGTACACATCACTTAATGTAACATGAACTTGGTGAGAGAGGCATATATTAACCATACTCATCCTTGTTATGCTACAATACTCTCTTTTGAGATTAAAAAAGAAAAAGAAAAAGGAAAGAGAAAAAATTCTCTTTTTATTTACTACAATGTAGTGAATTATTATGAGGATATTAATTAACTTTCTGCTTGCAGAAAAACTCAATTAATAAAGCTGATCTGGATCAACCCATTCTTCTTTTTGAAGTTTAGTCACTAAATCCTTATCAAGATGGAATGCTCTTGACAAAACATCAGGATTTACTGATGGGGTAGCTCCAAATATTGTATTTGCAATAGTAACAACTCCTGGGTTTTGGCTATTCAATACAGCTAGAGCGACTGCAGGAGTCTTGCCAATATTTAACCCAATATTTAACTGGAAGTGAATGAGTCCATGTGGAAACACCATCTCCTGGCTTTAAGATTTTGGCGAAAATGCGGTGATCAGGATTTCCTGTAATAAAACCCGCATAAAGAGTTCCTTCTAAGACAGTCAGTATTTCTGCAGCTCGAGGGTGAATATGGGGTGGGTTTAGACTGCCACTTGGTGCAAAATCAATGCGGACTATGGATAAGGCATTAGTGTTGAGTCCTGGAACTTGATCTACGGTTGAGAGAGTGAGACGTACTCCTAATTGTTTTGAGGTTTGTTTACGAACGTTAAGCCCTGTAATAAAGAAATCGTCTGCTGTCACTTTCTCTGGATCTTTGCAAAATTTTCCATTAACTGCATCAAAGTAATTGGAGTTGTTATATACTTAGAGACAATGAAAAAGAAAGAAAGGAAACACATTTAGCTCACACTTTACCACCATGTTTGTATCATTGGTTGCAACACAAATGTCCCTGGAGAGGACAGGGTCATAAGCCATGGCAGAGAGGAAATACAGAGCCAAAGACTGCAAGAGCTACGAGGAATTAGCAGTTTCATTTTTGCTTAATTATAATTCTACAAACTGTTATTTGCTTCGATGGTGTGAAATCTTGCATAGGCTATTTATAGATGAAGGCTTTTTAGTTCTTTTTTTTTTTTTTTTTAATATAAATATTTGATAAGCAAAGAGACAATTGTCGCCATATTTGATAAGCTAAAATTAGATTTTCAAAGTACGTGGGCTGCTTTACAAATAGTTACAGTACTGTAACTTTACGGCCGCCAAAGGTAATCGATTTGTATTTGTTTGACAGTGCAAGCCATTAGTAGGGAGTTTGGGTAAGTATATTGGTGTTCCATTACTCCATGAGTTAGTTTTTCATGCTTATAATTGATAGTGGTTAATTGATAAATGTTCGTATTTGGTAAAATTTTGACAGCTGTTATTGTTAAAATATAAAACAACAAAGCATAATTGTTTTTTATATTTCTTTTAATTTAAGGTGAATGTATTATTTTACTTTACTGTATTCCATAAATAAAAATATTAATTAAATTTTTTAAAATAATACTTAATAAAAAATTTATTTTTAAATAAGTACGATTAAATTGTCATAAAAAATATTAATTTTAAAAGAATAAATTTATTAGCAATTATTTGTATGATAGTAATGAAATTCAAATATAATATAAATACAAATCAGTCATCAACTATTAAAAAAAAACTCCAAAATGTGCTTATCAAACACCCAAAACTTAATTAGTTATTAAGTACAAATAAACTATCATCTGCATGAATTAATTAAACTAAATGCCGGACTATTTGATTTAATTGTTACTGAGCTCAAAGTAGACTGTTGTTGCTATTATAAAATATCTCATATTATTTTTTAGTTAATTTATTATTCAAGTAAAAATTAGAAAATTTTGAGTAAACTGAATTAGCTATATTTATTGTTAAAGTAAATTTTATGGTAAGTGAAGAGTTGAATTCAGTTCCTCATTCATTGAATATTTCTAGAAAGATTGAAAAAATTTATACAGTAAACTGAATTTTGAGAATTCATCAAATAATATTTTCAATTCTGTTTGGTTTAATTTATAGATTTTTAATCTTTAAAAATAACTAAGAGTTAATTTTAAAAATATTTAATATTATTTAAAGTTTGATTTTGCTATCCAATCACAAACCACCAATCAGGCAGCTTAATTAACTTGGCTTTGAAAGCTATATAATATCCAATACTAGTAAATAGCTCAATGCAGTTTTCTTTGACTTATGAGACCTTAATCAAAATCGAATTTCCCTGCTGATCGCTGACACGTCACCACTCACAGAAGTCTCTGCTGTCCAACTGGAATTGCCCATAATCATCAAATTCTGAGCTCTTTTATTCATCGTGACTGCAAATGGCTAATTTTTTAAGTACAGAGGAGTAAAACTATATATTAAGAATGATTTTTATAATTTATTAAATATAAAATTCCATTTTACAAATAAAGTTTTTACCAAATTTATTTTCAATAAAGTAAATTCCATATAGATTTATTATTCCAAAACAACAATGAGAGGCAAATAAGTGATGATTTGTATAACATTCTACCATTCATAAGGCATAAATGTTACCATATTATGAAAGAATATGCATTATATATTTATGGATCAGAAAACTTGAACATAAATTCCTGATCATATTTATTTAACAATCTATCAATTTGTTTATTTAGTGCAATTTTTTTTAAAGAAATCAAACTAGAAATTTCCTTAAGTGAAAACTGTATACAAATATGAGATACAGATCAATATGTTTCTATACTTTTATGTAGAAAGTCTAATAATAACCACTTATACAAAAAAAAAAAAAAAAAAAAAAAAAAAAAAAAAAAACAATCTTGATTTGAAGTATTTGATTAAGTTGACAGAGTACTTATGTTATAGGTGATCGCTTACTCTACTTAGTGGCTATTCATGGCCATTGTTTGACTCCATAGTCTTTCTACAAGTCTGATCTGATCTGATCACTTTCAAATTCTTCCTTCTACTAGAGAAGAGATTTGCACTTCTTTCTGCATAACTGTCCAAATAACAAACTACACTAGACAAAATCACTATAATGGTGACAAGAATAACTTAAAACTAAATCTAAGAACAAAATCCTAAAATATGAGTAATAATAAATCCTAATATTTAGCAATAGTAACACAAATTTGTAGATCTGATGATTATTTAAAAAACAAAAAAAAAAAAAAAAAAAAAAAAAAAAAAAAATGACCACCAGTGAGAGGCTCACGTGGCCGCCAGATAGGATAAAAGAAAAGAGAGCAATCTAGAGGTTGAAAGAAAGGGATAGTCGGCTAGAAATTTTCCATGAGAAGTTATTTAACTCTATCACATTTATGTAAAACTCATCATTTATATTTGTTGCAAAAATTTATGACACCCTTAATTTTTTACTTTGATGAGTTGAAAACCTCTATTAATAAAGTTGCACATATTAAAAAATCAACTCGTAAAATCGTTTATTAAACACTTCAATTCCAATTTGATCAATTTATTAAATACTTATTAAATAGTTAAATATGTGAAAATTATTATTTTGCAAACCACATATCAAATCAATATTTTGCATATAAAATACGTATCCAACAATAATTCTAACTCCAAGTCTAATCAAAGTCTTTTTACCTCTATATAAAGGGGATCAAACTCCCTATTCAGGGACGCAAGATGTGACAGGTCATCTATTCAATTACGATTGTTTATTATTCTTTTATTGACTTAAGCACTTGTGAGGATTAAAGCAAGCCAGTATAAAGTTAATTATTATGAAAGACGAGCCCAACTTGGAAGCTACCTCTGTGTTTCTTTTTTTATTTCTATCCTTTTCGTATTCAACGCTATTATGATTACTTATACATAATTACCACAGTCCTAACACTCTATTGCTCTTAAACTAAGAAAAATAACTGTCAATGCCAGCTGGCAGCTTATTGAAAATAAATTAGAGCCACAAGATCAAAATAGAATTCATATCAGTATACTTTCACCCCCCCTTCAAGATGGAGTTGGTGAGAAATCAACTAACCCAATCTTGGAAAGGAGACGAGAGAACATAGAAGCACTTAGATTCTTTGTAAACACATCTGCTAATGGGTGTTTTGATGGCACATGAGCAGTGGTAATGAACCCATTTTGAAGCTGATTACGAACCACATGACAATCAATGTCAATATGTTTCGTTCTTTCATGGAACACGGGATTTGCTGCTATGTGTAAAGCTTATCACAATTGAAAGGAATAGGAATAGGTCGATGAACAGGAACATGAAAATCAGTCAATAAGGAAGATAACCACTGAATCTCGCAAACCGTAGTAGCCATGGCTCTATATTCCGATTCAGCAGAGGATCGACTAACCGTAGACTGCTTTTTAGTCTTCCAAGAAACCAAGGAAGTGCCAAGAAAAATACAATAACCAGTAACTGAGCGGCGAGAATCTGTACAAGATGCCCAGTCAGCATCAGAAAAAGCTCAAAGCTTTAAATCATTTGTAGCGGGTAAAAACAAACCAAGATAACTAGTACCCTTCAGGTAGCGCACAACTGTAAGAGCTGCTTTGAGATGTTGAGTATGCGGAACCTGCATGTATTGACTGAGTTGCTGGACTGCATAACTTATCGGGTCAAAGACAATAAAGTAACCGACCAACAAAGCCGCCTACTAACTTTCTACATCGGACAAGGGTGTCCCATATCTGCTGTAACTAACACCTCTGTATATAAGGACTAGCATGCAAATTCTGTGGCATCTTGCAAGCCAGTATCAGACAATAATTCAGAGATAAAACTTATGTTGATTCAACATAATACCAGCGTCTGTACGTGCCACTTCAATTGCCCAAAAATATCTAAGTATCACCAAGATCTTTAACAGAAAATTTCTTGTCTAAATTAATGCTTCCAGATCAGAAAATAGTGTCAACAGATGGACTAGTTATCAGACAATCATCGACATAACCAGCAAGGCAATAAAAAGTTTTCCAAGTTACCTTTCTAGTGAAAAGACAATGTCAGAAGAGGATGCATTGAATCCCTGGATAATTCCACTGTCTACCAGCTTGCTTTAACCCGTAAAGTGAGCGCTGCAATTTGCAAACTTGCCCTGTTTCAGCTTTATCATAACCAGGAGGAACTTGCATATAAATATCCTCATCAATGAAACCATGTAAATAAGCATTATTAATATCAAGTTGCTTGATAGACCAGGAAAAAGCGGCGACCACAGTTAAGAAAACCCTTACAGTAACAAGCTTGGCAACCGGAGAAAAAGTCTGATTATAATCCAAGCCCAGTAACTGATTGTACCCTTTGGCGACGAGCCTTGCTTTATATCTGTCAACACTTCCATCTGCATTATATTTAACCTTGTAGACCCACTTACAACCAACAGGTTTAGTATTAGGAGGCAAAACAGTTAATGTCCAAGTATTATTTTGTTCCAAAGCAGTTAATTCATCACGCATAGCATTCACCCAATTCACATTATTTTTAGCATCATTATAATTGCAAGGTTCTTTTTTAGATAATTGTTCCAACAAAGGTATTATATTGAGAAGAGGAAAAATTGACACGAGAATTGGTATGGGATAGTAACCATAATCATCAAACCAAGCAAGTGTTTTCTAACCCTTGTAATACGCCGAATCGCCAGCGGTAAAACATCAGGAAACTGTTGGCGTCAGTATCATTATTCCACAAGGAAAGGTCAATTATCAAAGGCAAATCTGGAATTTTCAATGGAAGAGAATAAAGGGTCTGTACGAGGTTCAGAAACTGGTGTAGGTGAATTTAATGGAAGTGGTGGAGATGTATAATCAGCATGGGAAAGACAAGTGGGTAAAGCAAAAGTAGTGACATCTGTGGGTTTAGCATGGTGAAAAGGAAAAACAGTTTCCATAAAAACAACATCACGAGAATAAATAATAACCTTGGTAGTGAG